AGCAGCGTGAGGCTGATTTCAAAAGCAAAGATCCGCACAGTGAAAATGACATTTGTAGTGGTGCTTGCCTACATTGTATGTTGGACTCCCTTCTTCTTTGTCCAGATGTGGTCTGCGTGGGATCCAGCTGCACCGAGAGAAGGTAAAGACACATCCAGAGTTTTTTTTTCTTTACCACTGCACTATGCAGTTGACTTAGAATCCTAATATGAAGTTCATGTGCATTCACCAGAAACAGGGATTTACCTCATTAAAAGACATTGTTGATTAATAAGAATATGTAATTATTTATGAAGATATTCCCCTTCTTTTATAGGGTGCCACGTGCTCTGCGTCACAATCAGCAGAACATCACTTTTGTATGAGATTTATATTGGTGAATTTTTTGCCCATGATGTAAAACAAGATCGATTCTGTAACAGAAACTCAGCACTAAGTGTCTCATACGCACAAAGGCCATTCTCCCACCATACAATATGTCTGGGAATGCATAAGCAATCCACTTTACTTCCAAGACAACACAATGGTGTTTAACTCCAGACTTCCCCAGAGTGAACGCAGATGAATGGGAGTGTCATTTACAGTGGTTATCAGTTCAGAAAAAGGCCTCGGAGCCACTGGGAGAGTAAATGTACCAGGACATCAAAGAGTTTCTCTCTCTCTCTGCTCCCGGTGGTGGTTTGTGTAATTTCCATTTAAGTGCATAGTTTGTTCAGATTTACCCTTAGTATCTCTTGACATTAAAAGGGACAAGAGCAGCATGGCAAGATATGCTCCATAAACTTTAAAGTGGTGTTATATGGGTAAAATTGCATGAGTGTTCATTCAGAGCATTCAGCTGATAGGCCTATCTTAAAAAGGCCAGACTGAGCCGAGTTAATCATCTTCCTGTTTTGGGCCTCTTCCGAGCAGTTTTGCACAAAATGAGGAAAATAAACACATTAAAGGCAAGAATGCGTGAACACTAAACTACAGACAGTGTGTGTTGTAATAGGGGGCCCCATATAGTTTAGATGGATGGACTCCATCATTGCTATATTTTGTATTCCCATTTAGCAGACTAAACTATGAAATAGTGAACTCCCGATTGCTGTCCTTTAAAAACCAAGTATCTCCAAAATGTTAACTTTTCATGATCTGAAGAAGACCCACTTTCAGAGATAACGCAGTCGGCTTTTACTTGCTTATTCAACTTACGAGGTAGGAGGATTTTATCAACTGAGAAAAGCTCATAAAAGATTTCAGTTTATCTGACAATTTCAAAATCACCACATTTGAAGAGACGTGGTTTCCATTTGACAACAACACTATCAAACAACACAGATCTTTCATCATGTTAAACTATTGCTTTATTACTGACATTACTGACGTTATGAATTTGCACAGTACATTAATCAATGCACATTAAATACAAAATAAGGGGTAGATTGAATAAAAATTTGCTGTTATGGATGCTATCCATGTTAACGACCCCAAAATTTAAAAGAAACCTTTCAGAGAAGCATCTGTCCAAACCAAAAAGTAAAAATGATTCAGATTTCACTGACTCTCTGCTCAGGACTTATTGAATTCTTTTTGTTGTAATACCACAGTGTGAAAACCCTGAACTTCAGTTATATCATCACATTGTCCAACCTGCAGAGGATCCTCTGACAGTGAAGCAGAATGTGAACCAAGCAAAAACCTTGTGCACTTACACAATGTTTGTTTAACCTTTTAGCTTCAGTATTATCTTTGATATAGCGTTTGCTCTCGGCAAAGTAATTGATGGCAGTATTATCAAAGCCCTCCTTCTGATTGTCAACACCGCCTACTTTTCCCTTTTTCCAACCTCAATCTCAAAAGAGCAGCGCTGTACATCATAATATTACAGAGAAGGAGCCAAGCTTAATGTTTTTCTTTAATTTCTGGCAGCACAAAGGAAGTGGTGTGTGTGCACTGCAAGTCAAAGTGAAGTGTAGCAGAGTTAAAAAGAAAAGGTTTGAATGTCGTTACTTTGTGGTATTTCACTTTACGAGGACTGTGTTCCCTATGGACTAGACTCCCTGCACCAAATGATCTGGACGGGGCCGTTTGACTTATCTGTTGAACAGCTCTCATAACTTTGACAGGCCATTTGGTTGACACCTCCCAGAATAAAGCAAAGAACTATAGGGAGTCAGAACAGCATGAACAGACCAGGTCAGCACTCTGACTGGAGGATGGAAGAAGACAACGTGTTCTAAATCTCTCTCTCTCACCCCATTAAAAAAAAAAAAAACTTGGAAGTCTTTCACTTTCCACTGTTGAAATGGCGTGCTTCTTCAGTCTGCTCTGAAGCTGCAACAATTGGAAATTTAATCAGCTGAATTAATGAGAAAATAAGGTGTATTTTTCCACTCAGGACAGCATCTTCTAATTGAGGTCATTTATCATATTTGTGTCAAGCAACTTAAAATCCCATTAGTGTGGCATCCATCAAACTTCCATACATGTATATATATATTTTTTATATAATTCTAAATGTTTCTGGGGTTGTCTGAAATACCTCAGCATGTCAGCTATCCACTCATCCACTCCTTTTCTAAACTGCTTAGTCTATACTGAGTAGCAGGGGGTTGGAGCCTGTCCCAGCACACATTTTTAGAGATCCAGAGGCAGGGGACACCCTTGACAGGCTGCAGGTCACTAATAGCACCTCTTTAAAAGGATAGGGCTGGCTATATTCTATATATACAGTATATACTGTATATAATACTGTATATATTTTATCATTGCTGCAAATCTTCAAAAATGGCTCAAAATGTATAGTTTATTATCATATTTATTTTTATTTTTCAAAAAAGCTTTTAAAGAATTGTTACCCAAACAGGAGACAACTGTGTATTTGTTTGGGACTCTTTCCCTCGGAGAATTTGTTGCTGTAGCGGGTATTTTCAGCAGCAGGACAGCCTCCGTGCGGTCGACTCAAAATAAACTAATGAAAGAAGGAAATTGTCACCCATTGCAATGATATGGCTCACTGGGGTGTTTTAATAGTGTCAGAGAGAGAATGATGAAGATGCAATGTATTAGGATTTGGCTACACAGATAAACTTATTAAACTTTTCATGGGATTTGATAACAATAGAAAATTATAAAATTTTCCCATATATATATATATATATATATATATACACAGTTTCCTTTATTTAACACTGTTAGGATGTAGGTAGTGATATCACACCTATGTTCTTCTCTGTTTCTCTCCCTAGACATGGCCTTCATCATTGCCATGCTGTTGGCCAGCCTCAACAGCTGTTGCAACCCTTGGATCTACATGTTTTTTGCCGGTCACCTGTTCCACGACCTGATGCAGTGCTTCTTCTGCTGCTGTAGACAGTACCTGACACAATCCTCCTGCGGCTGTGATCGACAGTGCAGGCACAAGAGCAACTCGTCCACTTATGTCATCAAGGACACCAGCAGCCAGCGGAGCCTCACACACACATCCAGCACAGGAGGCCCAGGACACTGAAAAGCCAGCTGAAAGCCATCCAAGCTTCCTGTAGTCAAGTAATCTGGCAATCATGCAGTTCCCACTTTCAGCCATTTAATTATCTGCAGCGGCTCCGTGGCGGCCATTTCAACATGTTTGTTTTTAGATGTTTTAAACTGAACTAGACAATATAAACCTCCTTTCCAGACAATACACTGCACCCTGTGATTATGAGAGCAGAACAAAATGTCATTGTGTCAAAAACTGTGATGTAAAGTGAAACTTCTACACCAGTCACATCTGGCATCGGTTTAAATCCCGAAGGATGTGTGCCCTTGGCGTTCCCAAAACATCACTTTCCTTTTGGACCACAGTCCTGCATACACACTATTTCTCTTATATTGTCGTCTTCTCCATAATCAACCATGAGCATCTGGAAAGTTGTTCACATACTTCTCTCCTTCAGTCTTGAATCTTGTCCCAACAACTTGACCTTAAAAAACAAATAAGTATCACAATAATTGCATCAATATTGTTGAAGGACAGTCTTAAATGCTCATTTGCATTTTAAGATGTTGCTGCTCTGCACAAACGAGCACTTATTCAGTTTCTGCAACGATTGTTTGCCCTTTAAAGCAGCATTACTTTGTGTACAAGCATTTTACAATCGTGTTCTTCCAGCATGTGAGTGGTTGAATCAAAATGTTGATATGCATGAATAACATCAAGGTTATTGAAATAATATCCACTCTCAAGGTTTGGCTTAATGCAAATATCCCTGCTGTAACAACACAACAGAAATTCATCAACAAAGCAGATTCCACAAGGATGCATTTCACATCAAGGAGACTGGTTTCAATGTTTTCAGCAGACTTTCTTGTATTATAAATCAAACAGTGTTTGTCCTTATTGATGTAACATGAAATTCACTTTGTAAATAGTTTCCACTGCTCCTCATACGTGTTCACACATCATCATTTTTATCATTTCCATCTCTCTATTTTTTTTTTAGGTTCTTGGTAATCAGCGCACATGGACTTCAGATTTAAGGCACTTTACACCTAGTTGGGATAAAACTAGAATAATGGTTCCCTCTTGTGGCAACAACTGATTATCCCAACAAATAGTCTTATTTTCAGCTCGGTCTCTTTGGCCTTAGGATTCGAGGCGATCTGATAACTGATCGTATAAGGTGCATTCTCATCTTAAATGGTGTTTTCTTGAACTTTATAAAACCTGGTAAGTTGTCAAAGAAAACTTTATGGTTTACAGCCGCAGGGAGCAGCTTTAAGGTGAAGGAGGGGAACTCACATTCACGTCTCAATAAGTGCCACAAAATTGAATTTATCATGTATAATGATGATTTAATCTTTCTGTCATGACATGTGGGAGTGATTAGTATCATCCTAGTGGAATAAAACAATTAATTTTAAACATTATTTATTTAAAGTTTGGCAGACTTCAGCATAGGATTAGAAAAAGAGTGAAATTAATGGTTACACAGTTTTAAGATTGAAACAACAATGACAACTATTAAGTTTGCTTTTTTTTTTTTTGAAGAGAAATGTTCAGTACTTAGTCTTCATGCTGGAATAAAGCACTTATGTCTCCTTGCGAAGAACCACCTTCACGCCGCTGTACATCTTCCCCCATGCCTCAAAGAACGGGCCAATGAAGGTGTGTATGACCAGCGAGTAGATTCGACTCAGACACTGGGACTCGATCACACAGCTCTTAACGCAGGGCACAACAGCCCAGATGTGGCAGAATGACAGACAAGCGAACAGGAGGCCCCAGATCAGTGACAGAGGGATGCCCAAGATGGCCGTCAGGCAGCGATAACAACAGTACTTTGACACTGTGAAGGTGGTGTAGCTGGCTTTCCACACACCGTCCACGCTGTGCACGCCGACAGGCTCCGCGATCACATCTTCAAAGTTCACCTAAGGCACACAGAGACGGTTCATTTATTTACTGTGCTTGGTTTTGTAAGCTTAGAGCGTCACATACACAGACATTACCACAAGGCTTCAAGTAGAAAATGTGAGCACACCTGAATACAAAAGACTTTCTGGAAACAAATATAAATACTAAGGTTTATGAATGTATTTTTTTGTGTGTGTCCTTTACAATTAATGTCTGTTAATTTGTTTGTTTTAATTTATGTCTGTTGTTTAAGTGTGCTGGCAGAAGTGTCAGCAGCAGAGGGAGCAGCAGTCTTAAACCCGCTGCAGATAAAAACAAACCTGTATGTATATGTTGTTCTTTAATTTGGGTGAACTGACCCTTTAAGGGTTAAATGTTAGCTTAAACCTTAACTTTAAACTGACACCTTAAGCCTCAGAGTTAAAATCTCAACCAAGATAAAAATCCACGTGTGAAATACTGTGTAGATCTATAAACCAAAGCACTTGTTAATAATAAAGAAAAACACCTGCCTCTTCGTCTTTTCACGAAGCAAAACATTTAATATGTTGAAATTTTAATTTTAGTTTGTTGTACTTGTTGTATATGGCAGCAGTGTGTTGGGTCAGAATTATTTGGCGCCACTGCTTCAGCTATTGACAAAAAAGAAAACTAACTGTTGAAGCCTTTACTGTAACAATAAATAATCTCCACCCTGCCTCTCCCCAGATATCTCTTACAGAGAGTTAGGAAGCATTGTTTTAGACATACACACACTGTTAAGGCTTGATTAAACCTCAAACTATCTACTACTATGTTTCCATTCATGCATTTCTGTGATGATTAGGGAAAAATGGATCATCTGCACCTTGACCGCATCCTCATTGATTTGCTTGGGGTCCCTGTTGATGAGGTCGACCTCCCAGGTGAGGCTGTGCCTGCTGACATTCTCCTCCTGGCTGAAGTCACTGTTGGTCATGATCCCGTTCCTCTGACAGGCTGAGGCTGAAGCTGAGATAAAAACGCATAGGGGAGCCACGATGAGAGGCCGGATGTGTTGGCTGCAGTCAGAGCCTCGGGGGGCTGGGAGTGGCAGTGTATGAACTGAAACCCCACTCAGTGTTAACCAACCCTGGAATGCCAGCAAGCAGCTGCCAGTGACGACTACCTCAAACTGTCAGGAATATGGAAGGCACTGCCAGCATACCACATCAAGTATAGACACACACACACACACATGTATGCAGACGGGAATCATATACGCAGGGGCTAGACCGCAACAGGAATTATGCGGATTGAGGTGAAGTTGGCGTACACACACACACACACACACACCACACACAGACACACACACACACACACACACACACAACAACACACACACACTAGTGTTGATCATTCTTTTGTGCAATTGTGACAACTCACACAGTGACTTAAAGCATTTCATAAAGAGGGAAGTAAGCAGACTCATGTTGCATTTCACACCGTCCTGAGAAGGAGCCATACGGAAAAATAAAGTCAGTGTCCCATTTGTGAAGACATTTAATGTTTTCATTTTGTGTGTAGGATGACCATACATGTATAAAGCTTTATTTTATTATATTTCATGTTTGTGAGAAGTTTTATTTAAGATGTTTTATTAATTAAAGAAAAAGCAAGACTACAAGTGTTGCCCATATAAAACTATATAAAATACAAATTAAATACACAGCTTGGCAAAAAAATTTTTGTTTAAAGCTTAGAAATGATTGCACATATATATATATATATATATATATGAAGGTAATTATATTGCATAAAGATATTCCCTGTCCTGCTGACCTCCACATTATCAATGCAATAGCCCGTATACTGTAACAGACAATGGTTTAAATATCTCTTTCAGTCACAATAATGAGTTGAAAGAGATACCGAGGTGTCTTTTAATTCATATACATATACATGTCCGTAGGATGCTCTATTATTAAACCCCCGGCCTCCCGCTGGCCCTTCACTTCATTTAACAGAATAATGATGTTTTCTGTTTAGAGCTAATCCTATTTCAAACAGAAAAAAATGTAATTTGTGTCTTGTACCGCCATTTCCTCCCAGGAAAATCTAATATAACTAATATAACTGGATCTTTTCTAAAGAACTAAATATTCTCAGGTTTGGAACCAGTAACTTCTATAATTAGAATTAAATCCTAGTAGTTGTACATTTTTGCTTCTTGAGATAAAACTCTAAACAGCAGTTTAAAAATGTAAAAAAAAAAAAAAGTATAAAACCAAAATCAAACATTATGATATAGAGATTGTACAACATTCAATTTTCAAAACAAATTCTGCTGAAATTCTAAAAATCATCCAGAGCCGTAAACCTACTACAATATTAGTAAAAGTACTTCATGCTTTCATCATTCTCATTTTCTTGAAATCACTTACTGCAACATAAGCTATCGAGACTCTCTTAATCTAATTCTTAATCGCGCTGGTCTCAGTTGTTAAGAACTCTAATCCCCTTTTTTGTCTCACCAAAGTCATTTCACACTCTGAAGATGAAATTTTGAAATAGACTACATCAGCTTGTTTTATTGCAGGTCTAAACGATTTTATGAAAATGTCACATGCCTTGTGAAATCATTAAAAAGAATCAGCAAATACTGTTGAGCTATCTTGGAAAACACATATTAATAAACATCTTATTTTGAATTACATATTAAAGAATCAAAAACCAATGCCCACTTGGGCTCAGTCCACCAGTGCACTTGAGCACCTACAATCCCAGTCCGGATGAATTTCTCATGTGTGAGTCTCATTCTTTGGCCAGGTGAACGCTGAAGCCTCCGCAGCATCTCCCAGCACTCGTGAGGAAGGGGCCCACAATGATGCCCAGCACGACGCTCCATAGGCTCTGTAGCCAGCGGGTGCCCATAAGGATACACTGGACACAGGGAGAAACCATCCTGCCGTAGGAAGAAACACAAACATGAGAAAGATAATCACCACAATTGCACAAAGAAAGGTATATGCTCTGTCACAGTGTGAGCAACGCAGCTAGTTTTAGTCTAATTAAGTCTTTAGGAATCTGTCTTCTGATGCCGACATGAGGGACTTTATACTTTTATTGCTTTACTATTTCTTAACTTTGGGTCAAATGAGAACATTAGCCACTGTTTTTTATTTATAAGTATTTCCCAATTTCCCCCCACATAGTTCCTCTAAATCCACGGCACGGAATACACACGCATTCAACAGACTCTCATTTCAACATACTTCTTAATAGAAAAGAATCAGAATTATCAGAGATTATTATTTTACCATAACATTTTCACCCTTTTTTTTTTTCTATCGTTACCCCTCCTGTCACTGATGTGTCCTTCTGTTGCTATCATGTTTTCCATTAGCCAGATACTGAAAACCATTATTGCACTTCCATGAAGTTGGGGAACTCATAAGAGACGATCTTAAAGAATCATGGTAAGAATCGGTGCAGCTGAGGCCTGAGGCATCCTGACTTAGTCCCTAGTATGGGTCAAGATTTTCCATAATGCAACTGGTTAGCATCAACGTCATTACTGGCTCATTTCATTTCATTTAATGCTGACTAATAAATCCATGGCATTATGAAATAAAAGCACTTTTGAAAAAGGGCATTTGGAAATAGAAATATAAACAATGAGGAAAGGAAAAAGTATTTCGTAATGAGTTTAGTTTTCATAATATTGAAATAAGATTTTATGCAACTAAATTCTAAATATAAACTCTATATTTATCTATCATTTCTTTTTTTATTTTTAGTCATGTGATTATTCACTCACTCAGGTGAGAGTGTCAACATGTGGAAAGCAGCGGGATCTAAACCTACCAGATGTGGAAGCAACTGAGGATGGCAAAGAGGAGACCGGAGATAACTGACATGGGAATGGCCAGGAGCACTGTGACTATCCTGTAGATCCAAACCCGGGACACCTCGAACAGGGCATGGCTCCAGATCCACACTCTGTCCCCGCTGCGCACTGTTACTGGCTCGGCAATCACATCCTCAAACGTCACCTGGAGACACAAGGAGAAAAGTGGTGCTGATGCTACAGACGTGAACCGTTACGTCATGTTCCTGTTCGGATTGATTCACTTTCAACGTATGAGTGATATCCACTGGAGGGCAGTGCAATAAGCCGAGCAGCTTCTTGCTTCTACATGCCAAAGGCTGTGCGTGATTGTTTTTTTATCAGCTTTTTTTAATCAAATGGTCCATAAAACAAAGTCCATTAAAGTTACTGCATAAGAATGCAATACCTGGAGGCAGTCATTGATACCTCGGGGGTCTCTGACATTAATCAGAGGCTTGGTATCGCTGATTTCCACCAGGGTCGAAGTATGAATGTTCTCCTCTTCTTCCAGAGAAGGAGGGGCCCTCCACAGCGTCTGAGGTTCCTCTCCATTATCAAATTCTTCAGGGTCCCCGGAGTCCTCAAAGTCAATCTCTACTTCCTGTAAATCTTCCGCTTTCATCATGGTGTCCACCCAAACATGTGTAGAAAACACAACCCAAAAAGAAAAGAGTGGATGTCTGTCACTCTACTAACAGCTCAGACTGAGGCCGCTGAACGGACCCCCCTCAGCGGGCTGTGTGCAGTGGGGTTATATTGGGAACATTACAGTGCCCTCGATGGTATTTGCAGATGGTCTTTCAAGTGAAGATCATTTTCCTGTGCTGTGGGAGGACAGGAAGGATAGTGCGGGATATAAATACTGTGAGCATGGAGATTACTCTGAATACACTGATACACTCTACTGGGCATGCAATCAAACACATACACACACACACACACACACACACACAGACAACATGAGACAGTTCTGCAAACATGTGAGCAAAGCTAGAGTGAAACAGAGTCCAACTGGAATATTTAGTGACACAGGTATTTTTGGCTTTCATTTATTTCCAAGTCTCAGTCGACTTAAATGAGTCGTACAGCAACTTGTGTTTGTGTCAGAAAAGGGGTTGAGTTGCATGACAACACTGCCTCCCTCTGGCCTGTAATGGAAATTGAGTCTCCATTATAATCATTTATCTTCACTGGTGTAATGAAATGTGCATGACCTAATAATGTTAGTATGCATGTAAGATTTATTTCCTCAGGAACCAGAGGTAATGATTCTCATGCACAACCACGTATTTATCTATTTATTTACTTTTCAAATCTATTTTGGACCTTTCCCCTCTTGGATCCTCACAATTTCTCAAAATAACAGGACACTGTTGAATTGGTACGACTTGCTTTGCCATAAAGTAAAGCCAGAATGTTGTCCAGAGTCTTATGGAGGTTGTATGTAGTGATACTTACTCAAGCTCTACTCCCATATGTCACAAAGATTTATTTCCCACTGTTAGACACTTATTAGATGTTCTCAGAGGGCAGTTTGCAACACATTACAACAGAACTGTACTGTAAACTACTAAAATGCATCTGTATTTTTTGGTTGTTGTTGCTTTGGTCAGTAAAGTGATACATCAGTTGGAGTTGTTACTGAGTAGTTCCTGATTACTTTATAATTATATCACAATAAACTCCTTAAGCAGCGCCCAGGTGTGGGAAACTATGTCAAATAAAGGCTAAATAAATGTATTGTCCTCTGAGCTCTCAGTGTTTCGTGTCACTATGATTTTGCATTCATTTGTCTACTTATAGCCTGTGTTGTCTAATGAAGCTAATGTAGGCCCTCAGTAGCATCTTCTAACCATAGCATCTTTTGTATCTGATATGCCATTGTATTTGATTTCTTGGATTTCTTTCTCTTTTATGTTATAATAAAATCTAACACCATGATTTCTATATTGTCCCTTTGTGAAAGCATTTAATTTTCTGACGTGTAGGGATGAATTACTACTGTTTGCTCTTTACAGTACCAACAGCATCAAACAACGATGGGGAAGCAGCAGGAGATATACCGCATGTTATCACAATATCCTCCTCTATAGGCCCTGGATCCTGTGAGGGGTGTTCTCAGGTCTCTGCACTCTGTTTGGTGTAAAGCATGTTTCGCAACATGCTTTTAAGGAAAACTCTATCACCTCTGTCGACCTTTGGACCCATTAACCTGACGTCCTCACTGCTATTAATAGGTCAGCTACGAATCAACAGACTTAAGCCCTATCAAACCATTCTCAGCAACTCACCAGATCTTCATCACAATTTGCTTTTAATTTGTTTGTGTGCCGAGTGGAGCGAACACAATTAAATTGATTTTAAGAGCTGTGAATCAAATCCAAAGAGAAATGTAAATGCTTTCTGTTCAACTAAATCAGTCTCCATGGTAATGATCATTTCTGCCTGCTGGATGAAGACGGAGAGAGCACACAATATATTGATGACAGAGAGTTTCCTGTGTCAGTGCAGGAGACCGGGGTATGCTAATGGACTGCACAGCGCGGCAGATGGGGTTTGTTTGTGTCCGTGGCTGCACAGGTGAGGTCAGCGGCAGCGGGAGTGAGTGTGTGTGGAACAGAGGGAGCGAAAGACACATGTCCCAGCTAATTGCACCTCGGTGACGTCACATAAGGGTGAGGGTTGCAAGATCATTTATAGGACATTTTCCAGGGATGTCAGTAATCACTGGTGTTATTTCGTGAAATTCTGAATAGATTTCAGCCTCACGGTCTCCGCTTTGGAGAATCATTCTACAGCTATATGTCTGAAAAGACAAACAAGGATTAGGATAATGTTTGTTCTAAAATGTTCAGTTAACACTCTGTAAAAGTTTGTGTATCTTCCCTTTTGTTTGGCAATTCTAGCTCTTATATAGAGATTAGAGATTAATTTTTATATGATAAGCAAAAATCACATTTTGGAAATAAACATTCTCAGGTATAATTTAGTTTTATTCTATTTACTTTATCACTCAAAAACTCAGCTAATCTGCTCCATCAGGACTGTCATCTTATTCTGATTCAAATATGAATAAATCCTGACTGGTGCATGGAAGTATATGAAATCTACTTTTTCCAACTGAGGCCCATCCACTTCAGACTAGCATGAAACTCACGGACAGAAAATCTCTCAGGTGAAACAACTAAAATTACCTCTCATGACCTCAACATGATAATGCATAATGTGAGAATACATATATGTTTTAATTCAACTCCATCCACAGTTCGTCCCCTCTGTTGCCAGCAGCAGCAGCTTAAGTGGGGCATGAGGGATGTCAGACAGTGTTCCTGCTCAGCACCTGTCAGTCCAGCTGTTTTCAGTACAATAGGTCAGACTGAGTATTTGTCATGTAGTAAACAACGCAGTCACTAATCTTCATGGTTCCCATCTAACGCCACAACAGGAAAAAAAAATGGGATACATATATTTATTTTTTTATCAATCCATTGATTGATTTTACAGTTTCCCATGGACATAAAATTAGTATGAATGATATTAATATAAACATCTGAATCAGTTAACTTTACTCACATTGACATGAGATCTACTTGCCTCTGATAAACATTGTACCATCCAATATTTTAACAGGATTTTTTTTTACAATCTTCTCCTCCTGATCAGGATTATCTGACTGAATTTATATAATTTGACCCAAATTTCCCACTAATTTGCACTTAACACTTTTATGGTGAAGCTTTTTTGCTTGCTAATATAATATGATCCCATTTTTAATTGAAATGTTGTAAACAGTACACATTCAATAGAAATAGCGGCAAAAAAATACCCCAGCCAATGAAAATGACTTGAAAAATCTGCCGGTTGAAGATAATCGAGTCTAAAGTTTCATTCCAGCCAATATTTTCTTTTCTTTTGTTTTTATGTTATTGTTAAAAAAAAATATATATATATTCTCTGCAGATGAATGGTAAATGTGGATGCAATAAATTACATTTTGTTACTGTAGGTTTTCAAGTACTTGTAAGTAAGTTTGTTTGCCACACAATGACAAGAAAAAAAAATAGAAAAGCTTTACTTAGGGATGAATATGAGACACCGGCCTTCCACAAGAGAAATTCATATGTGAATGTTAAAAGGAACAGTTTGACATTTTGAGAAATATATTTGTTTGGTTTTGCGCTGAGAGTTAGATTGTCTGATGTCAGTACAGTAAGGCTGGCAGCCAGCTGGCCTGGCTCTGTCCAAAGGTAACAAAATCTCTCCGCGTGCAGCTCTAAAGTTGACCAATTCACAAGTTATATCTTGTTTGTTTAACACATGAAAAAAAAAAAAAAGAGTAAGTGTGAAAACAGAAAGTTGTGCTTTTGTGCTGGATCGTTTCTGAACCAGGAGTCTGTGATTTGCACACTTTTGCCTCATCTTGGCTTTGGGTCCTTGTAGCTCGTAGTGCTGTGTGAACTCTGTGAGGATAGTTGAGCAGCTCTCATGGTATATGTGTACATGCAGTTCTGAGGAAACTCGCACTGCTACTGGTTCGAGGGAGATAATGTGGTTCGCTGTCAGTCATGAAGCCATGAGTCACACCTTCTCTCCCTTTGCTTCTCTCATTATCACTGCGTGTGCAGCAGCGGAGAAGCTCATCAAGTTGAGAGTAAACAGACAGCTCCAGGTAGGGCCCGCTGGAGAACATTAGGTCTTTTCAGTGGAGTTGCCATTAAGTATAGACGAATAACAAAACACCCTCGACTGAGCTGAAGGCGTGAATTCTCATTTTCTTCAGAGAGTGGGCTTGTGTTTGATCTACGATGAATATGCTCTGCAAAAGAGATGGACAGTGACAGTGTGATTGTCTTGATATAATAAAAGCGACCACTGAGGTGGGAGGTTATCCTTTTATCCTTCTTCTTTTTTAAACATCCCAGTTAAACATCCTCTTTATCGTGGTGATGATGATGACATGTATGTGTCTCGTCTATTTGTGCACCACAAACTTCGACTCATTTGCACACTTTGTGCGCATCACTGCTTGTTCTTGGCTGTATTTTATTATGTTGATTTTGATAATACAAGCTGTGCCGTTATCAAAGTTGCAATGATACTCTGCAGCTGGTTCCTGAATGTGTGTATGGCCAGAGACCATAAAATGACACTGTCTTATCATGCTTTTAACATAATCTAGATGTCTATAAATCACTTCAATCGCTCATGTTTTTGGATGTCAGTTTGTGTGTTTGTGTGTGTGTGTGTGTGTAGGATGCCCTTTCTCCTGCCTGTCAGTACATATACATATACTTATACAGTTCTCACTCCTCCCACTGACATCCCAGTGACAAGCAGCGTCAGTAGACTAATAGACAGCAAGGCAGGGGGTTTTTTTATACATTTTCCATCTAATCTGATTATCCGTTTACTGATTTACTTCTCTTGATGGTGTTTACAGGTTTTATGTAAATTTAGCTGAGGATGTGCTCTTTTCATTTGTCACCAGTCATCAGCGAGTCCATCCGACGTTATCCCTTAAATCTAATCTGTGTGGGAGAGCTGCACATTCCCTCAAAATATCAACAGTCAATCATCATCAAACTGTCTCGATTGATTGATCTGTGTAGAATATACATGATTAACTTACTCTAATAAGAACAAACTGCACATACCATCATTTTGATGTCTATGGAATTTAGAAAGTAGGTCATATTCATAGATAAATGCATGGAAATATGAATTCTTTGTGGTTAATCTGTGTACCAGTGTACACATATTATGAGGGTATTACAGACCACCACTTCACCCATTATGAAATGGCATTTTCTCCTTATATAATCATGAGTTAACTGGGTTCAGTCTTAGTCATAGGGTTTTCACAAATGAACACAGGGTCAGGACCCAAAACCTAACAGAGACAAAATGTTAAACATATACAGATGCACATGCAGTTGCCATGTTACTGCTGCATTTGGCTCATTCTAGTGCTTTTTTTTTTAGTGCTCAGAGAGTGACAAGAATTTCACTCTTACATTTCTAAGAATTTGGCACACTTATTCAAAGAGACTTACAGTGATTGAGCTCAGGGATTCTTGGGCTGGACACGTGACAGACTTTTAATTTGGAGGCGGGCTGTTGATCTCATGGTTACAGGACAGCTTGATCACATTGTTGCCCCGTTATTTTCAGAGGCTGACCCTTTCAAATGAATGATTCCATCTGAACACCAATCATTCTCTGCTGTCAGAAAATACTAAATCAATGATATGAATAAAAAAGAAAGAAAAATCTCTGTATGTACTGCGATATGATTTACATAAATGATTAAGGTAACAAGTGTTTATTTGCACAATTCAAGCAATAAGAAATAACAAACTCTAGAACAGACAGTGATGTGTCTCTTCTTTGAGTACAATAAATAAAGTTTACAGAAATTCCTGCAACATGAATACAACATGACAACATTGAATTGTTGAATATTGACTCGTATAAAGAAGATTGCTGCTATATTTGTATATAAAAACAAGTAGTGTCCTGAATTTTTAGATATTGTAATAGTAAATTACTGCTCACTCTCTTCCTCAGTAGATTGTAAATCCCTTTGTCAGTTCTCTTAACTGGATATATTGTCATGACTTACTGTTCAAGTATGATGTGATAACTTTTATTAAAACAGATGTACGGATTGCAGATAAACAGTAACTTTGCTTTAGTAGCCAGTAAAAATCATTATATAACTGCTAGATCGACCACAAAAGCAGTAACAACAATTTAAAAACCTATCTCCATTAGCTTTATGTTCCAGTATTTCTGGAATTTTTAGATAAAGGAAAAGAGTCAAGTTTCAAACATAAAAGCTCAGAATTTCTTTCTTGATGCTGTATCTATCTTTTTCTCCAATAGTTCTGCAGATGATTAATCCCGTGGCACAACAGCGAGGTGTATGACTAACTGAACTCTTCTGGGATCTGCCCCGGTATCCTAAAGCCAGTCTGTCCGGTCTGATCCAGAGTGTTTCTAGGACTGGATGTGGCATAGCTTGCTTGTGTCTCTAATGTGCAGCTGGTCCTGTGGAGGAACTGCAGGAAGTTCTCGTGGCCTGAGCCCTCGTGGCTGGAGACAGCCAGCTCCACTGGCCGGGCCGAGTAGCAGCGCCTCAGCTTACAAAGCTCCTCCCGGATCTGCCGGTTGAGAAGCCCGTAGAAAAATGGGTTAATGGCAAAGGAGGAATATGCCAGCCAGGTGACTGCTTCCTCCAGGTCATCAGGAAGGTTGAGTGTTGCATCTATTGTCAGATGGAGGTGGAAGGCAAAGTAAGGCAGCCAGCAGATCAGAAACTGGCCAACAATGACCACCAGAGTGAGGGCAGCTTTACCACCACCAAAAGGCCGATCACGCATAGTCCTGCGTGGGGCGCTGCGGGTTGTGATGATGGTGGTCTGGCTGTTTATCGAGTCAGAGCGATGCTTCAGTTGACTGTTTGTCCACGAGGGCAGAGGTCCATGCTGGCGGGCGGCCACGCGGGCCACTTTATACACATTGCAGTAGACAGCAAAAATCACAACAGCAGGCAGGCAGAAACAGGTGACACTGAAGAGCACAGAGAAAACTCGCCTGTGATCACTGTGGCTCCAATGCAGCGAGCAGTGTGCAGCACTGATGGTGCTCAGGCTGCCGTAGGACGGCCACCCAAACACAGTGGACAACCCCAGTATGGCAGAGGCCACCCACACCATCACCATGACAGCAGCGGTCAGCTTCAGCGTCATCTTCACCTCGTAGCGCATAGGGTGGACGATGTAGTAGTAACGCTCCACACTGATGGCTGTGATGGTGAAGATAGAGGCAGCTATGAGGATTACATTGAGGAATACATAGACCTGACACTCCAGCACAGTGAACACCACATCAGCAAAGTACGGAGAGCTGGACACAATCCCAAGAGGCATGAGCAACATGGCACACAGCAGGTCCACTGCGCACAGGTGACAAACAAAGGCAAATTTCCTGAGGTGAGGGGCCTTCATGACAACAACCAGAACAGCGGTATTGGCCAGAAGTGCCAGAACATTCAGGGTCACCATGAAAAATATCCCCGCCAGGTCCTTGAAGCGTGTCTGGGGGTTGGGAAGGGTGCCCAGGTGCCTGCTGGGAGCCGAGGGCATCGGCGCCCAAGCGGAGGTGCTGTCATTGAAGTCAGGGGTCAGAAATGAACTGTTTTCCTCCATGATTCATAATAAAGGTTTCAAAGTACACATCTCTATTCCAGACTCTCCCATTGTTCAGTGATGAGGCTGAAGGATCCTACAGACGTCAAATTCACAGCTGTGAAGAGAAAATAAAGTCCATTAAAACAGGATATTTAACATTTATGTTCAATAAACACTTAATGAATTGCATTAACATTTTTTTTAATATATTATTTTACATGATATAAGCTGATATGGTTAACTTGTTTGCAAACAGCTACTTATTTACATATCCAGCAGATACAGAGTAACATTATCGTTAATGTAATGTTAATGTTTCGTTAAAATCGTTATCGTTATCGTTATCGTTATCGTTATCGTTATCGTTATCGTTATCTTCGTATTTGTGTCCACCTGATAGACAAAGGATGAATAAACACATTCCAGTCAGCTCTGTATTTGATCTCCTCAGACCCTTGAGGGATTTGGCTCTTTAGTTGCTAAATGCTCCACTGCGTTCACCAGTTAGTCGCTAACTGTGTCCGTCTGCTGTTTAGTGCCGGGCAGGTAGTGTACGCTCAGTGGAAACAGCTGCCTTCTGCAGAAGAAAACAATGCTGATGGAGAGAGTGGAACCAAAACAATACAAGCTGCAGGCCATGCAACCACAATGATGAGCTGAAAGTCACTGTAAAGCTCAGTGGAGCTGAGAGGAACTGCAGAGGGAGACGGTCGACAAACCTCTGAGGGTTCGTCATATGAGCGAGTCCAAATAGCTGCATGCTCCATTGTTGATATAAAAATCTTGATTATAGCCGCTTTAAAGACACAGTTGAATGTTATACTAATAAAACAGATGATATGACATATGCATGAAGTAACATTTAGCAGTCTTAAAGGTCTATTCTAGCAATTGAGTATTAGACTTCCATAAAGTTGGGGATTCTTTAGAGACAGATTTAACAAATAAATCGAAGCAGCGGTGACTGACATCTTGACTTACAGTTACTGGTAGGGGTCATGCTCAAAGAATCATAGATATCTGCATGGTAAGTATCTACATCTTTTAAACTCCATACGTGTAATTTGTAATGCAGGCTTTCTGTAATAAATGTGTCTATACAGACCTAAGCTGACATAACCCCGATGACATCACAATGACATCAACAGGATTGGCAAAGCTCCACCAGGGCCACAAAAGACGTCCGTGTACAGACGGCTGAATAGTACTAAACATGACAAGTAAACTTTATTCACTTTATTCATCATTTTTCCTCCCACCAATAGTGACTGATGTCAAGTGTCCACATATAAATATGCACAGATCCTCACTGCATTGTCATAACGTTAAAGAGAACACATACTGTACATGTACATGCCTTAAAAGGTAGTGGAAAGTTAATCAATAACTGTTCATATTATTTGTGGGAGTATTTTAGAGGCGATGCTCTCTCTTTCTCTCCCTCTCTCTTTAGTGAGGGAGAGACTTGATCAATAGGAATAATTCATGGAGGGCACCCTGTCTCTCCTCCATCCGTCCCCATCCTTTTGAAATGAAAGATAATGAGTGTGCTTGTTTTAGCCCAGCTGCAGGGAACTGGCTGGATTGATTAGTATGTGTTCAGTGTCACCCTGCACCGCACCATCAAAGAGGAAACCTCTCACCAGGACAGGTCTGACCCCCACGATCATTGTGGGGTTTTTCTCATGAAAAACAACCAGCAAGCACTGACTGAATATATATTATGTGTTTACTGTAGTTAAATTTTCATTGAACGGATTTAATTTGAAACATCCTTATGTTGTGGCCTTGAAATGCAGCTTCCCATGCATTTATCCACTCGTCTTGTGCTCATAAACATAATCGGGTTTTAAATGCATGATGGTGTCCTAAATACATGTGCTTGGTCACTGCCAGTGATCCACTGATGTGCTCCCCTGCTGTAATCTGCTGGTGGACAGCTATTGGCATGCCACGTTTCCACTGAGATTTATCCCCACGAGGGACTAGTACATGTACATTCTCGTGCACATTATGTAAGGGTGTCCTCATTTTCATATCCTTGAAGTCCACATTGTACTTTTGAAGAGGATGATCATTTTCAGCCACCAGTTTATTTAGTTCTTTGAAGCCTTTTGTATTTATTCATTCGATAGAAAAACATCCGGTGCATTTTTCCTCTGCTTTAATTCTGTTACTAAAAAGAGATCAGCATCAGCAAATTATTTTTATACATTATAATGAGGATGATGGGAAGTATGCAGGTCATTTAATCCCTCACAAATCTATGTTACTGTGCATTTTAGCCTACGCTGGGAAACCTGTTAATCCAACCCACTGTGGTGACCTTTTTAATTATACTAATAATTTTATTGCATTTAAGTTGATATATTACAAATATTATAATTACGTTTGATTTTATATCAAATAAAAAATAATGCCAAGCGAGAAATATTTGATGGATCAGTGATCTATTGTGATGAAAAAATATTAATAGAATTTGTTTGAATAGATGTGATCTAAGTTAAACATAAGAAATGTTACAATGTGAATTTCATTAATCCAGGATATAGTCACAGCATCTTTGAGGGAAAAAACAAGAAACACAAGGGATATTGGATGAATTGCAGCATGTTTCGACGGTTGTAAATATTCTGATATTGTAATAATAGGTTTCAGTTAGGAGATAAATCACATACCAATGAAAGACAATTAGCTCGAGCTGTCCACATAAAAGAGGAGTGGTTGCAAAAATCAGCGCCTCACTTCATATGTGATGGGTTGAAGAGTCGTTGTCGTATACATAACTTTTTGTCTGGTTTGTTATCCCTTATGCTGGAAACAGTCACAAATGAAACTCTTAATTATTGATACCATTGGTCAATAACATCAGCTCCCTCTCTTGGATGTTTTAAGGCCCTCGTGCTAACTCTCTGGAATATTTGTCTGCAAGTTCATCACTGGTCACAATTTCACCAGATTTATCCACTGTAGAAAATTAGGTTCATCTATCCACAAACACTGATTTAACTCTGTCCGATCAAGAAAAAACAAGTAGCGCTTACATGAAAATTGGCTGTAGTTCCACCAAAAAGTTTTTCTCAGAGTCTTGTAAAGTTGAGCACTTCAAAAGCTTTGTGATGGCTCATCCCTGAATCCTTGAAAAGCTCAGATGTTGTTTCCAGGTGTGTAGAAGTGCTGATCCACCTTACAGAGCCCTCTCAGGAACTGTGCTGCCATGTTGGAACTTCTGATGAAATATGTATTTTAGTCAAAGAAACAGAAGATCCTTGAAGAAAAAAAACAAACAAAAAAAAAAATTGTTCCCCAGGGAGCACTGATACTGACAGAGAGAGAGGTGATGTGTTGAGTCCAGTGAGACAGCACAGCTGGCTTGAAGGGAAAGGAGGGGGAGGAGCCAGCAGTGGGTGATTGTTCACATCACGTCTTTCAAGAGAAGACGACTCTATCAAACCGCCACCCCCAACCCCACACACACACACACACACACAAACTCACACTGTCTTTCATCAGTCAGTATGTGGCAGTGACTGTCACACACTGTCCACTATGCCTCTGCCTGTCACACATGCTCCTCTATTCTCCTCTCCAGAGATTCAGAGAGAATGAAGACACTGAAGTATTGCTCTCGGATTTGCTTTGTCCATTCACCATTTCACACACAAAAGACTTTCTTCTTCCAATGGACTTAATCCCATTTCTTGATTTTTTAATAGCACCTATCATCTCGCAACAGCTGTGCCCTTTGGGTGAGTGAATCAATGCTTGCAGAGGGGCATGAAATGGAGCTCAGCACTGACATCTGTTGGTTGCTGGCAAAACAAAACCATATTCCCATGAGAGCACAGCACAGCACTTTAATGTGGTGATGCAAGGAACGGATGAGAGTTAAGATAACACGAGGACATCAGCTCAAAAAGTTTATTGGCCCTTACGTAGTGAAGCACAACAAACAGAGATGTGGTGTAACTGATGTTGTGGATGCAGGAAGATTAATTATCTCTTCAGGCTTATTCTAAAATGGCAACAAAAAAAAAAAAAAAATGTTCTAGAAAGACAATATCACGTGATGTAATGCACGATTTGTTGGAACAACAAGGTACAGATGAGCGCTCTGTTATTTTAAACATCTCCTACTTTCAAATACACAAAGGCCAGCTGATTAAAATGCAGTAAGAATGATCAACTTCACAGACCTGTTATTTGGACACATCCACTTACTACCTCAGATTAAAAAAGAACTCTCAGTTCCTAGTTTCACCACTGACGATTATACGTGACATTTTATAGTGTTGCTCAACGGCTTGGTTGGGTCACCAGGTTAAACTTTACAGTTTTCGAACATAAAGTACAATAGACCAAAACAGTCAAGGTTAGAAAAAAGAAAAAAAGAAAAAAAAGAGTTGATTTCAATACTGAATAAACTAGATGTGGATTTTTTTTTTTTTTTTTTAAAAAGGTAACTTCTCACACATTTCTATCAGAAATTAATAACTGGTGATAAACAAATGATGGCAGACTTGAAATCCTATAATTGAGAGTCATTTCTCATTGCTTCATTTTCAGGCAGCAGTGAAGCATCTTGGCAAAAGCTTTGATCAATAATCGCTTTGTTTTCAGCTTTACCCAATCCCAGCCTCTTCTTTAATAGTTTGTCCTCATTATTCAACTTTGTCCGGATTGCAGTTTTTATTTGGCTGCTATCAACGCCGAACTTGGCTGCCACATGATCTGTAAAAAGAAACATCATCATCTTTTAGTTTTCAAGTTTTAATCTCCATTTTGCTTTATCAAATTCATGTATAATGAGCGGGACTGTGTGCTTATAATTCAATGTTACGCAAATGTTCTTTATCTTACCAATTATACTTCTCAAGATGTCAGGTGGGAGTTGAGGCTTGTGACAATCCTCTCCTGTGAAGGTGTTCCTCCGGCCCTGCAGAGAGTGTGTGGCCAACGTCTCTCTGTCAAAAAGTATCATCAGCAGCGCTGAAGTGTACTTCTTGTAGTCTGCAATCTCTGCAATGCGCTCATAAAGATTTTTTGGTACTCGAAGATTTTCAGCGAGAAACAGGAAGTTGAGGTCGTCCTGAGGGCAAAAAAAGAAAAAAATGTTAGTTCCAAGCACTAATGAGTTTAATCTTCACCAAAATTGTAGTTATTAGAAAACAAGGAATATTTGAGGGGCTGACCTCTGGGATATTATGGACCGCTCTCATCTCTGCCTCAGGCTCAGTCAGGAAAGAGAGGGTTTCATCTTGAGAGTTTTGTGGTGCAGCTGTTGCCTCTCCTCCCTGGAGAACGTGATCCAGGGTGACTCGTAGTTCATGTGCCGTGTGCCTCATCTGCATCATGAGAGTGTTCATCTCTGCAAAAAGTGTCAAATCAGGTTCGAAATGCTAACATCAGAGCGGGAATATTCAAGCTGGAGTGCAGGAATTTCACATATAAATGAACGTTGGTTAAATTCAAGCACTTGCTAAATGAGCTCCCAAAAAACTGATTATTGGTAGCAATGTAGCAATGTGCTTTACGTCAGCCAGCAATGATTGGTTTGCCAGAGCTGAAGAGGGGAGCAACTGTAGCAACGGAGACAGAGTAGGCTACAGCAACTAGGAGTATAATACAGCCTATGGCGGAAAAACCTAGGAAGCGTCCAAGAAATTTCTGATGCTCTAAAGAAACTCGCTGCTCAGAGGCGAAGGAGAGGACAAACACGGATTACCATTTATGTGGTGTTTCCTCATTGGAGAGCACTGTTTGTGTAATTACTCTCATTGCCAGAAGGGGGAGACAAAAGTTCCGCACTGCAGGTTGAAGATTACTGTATTGTAAGTGTACAGCCTAGCCTCAGAGCTGTAGTCTGGAGTTTTGGAATAACATCATAAATTCTAATTCCCCCTTCAGAACAACCAAAACTCTGTCAAAGAATATAGTTTCACAATTTGTTTTTCATGCAACTGATCAATTACATTTTTATCTTTACTTACATTATTATCCAAATGTTATTTCTAAGCCTTCTCTACACCTCTTTACTGGTATGTAATTGTGGTGGAGAATAATAAATCCCCTTTCTTTAATTTGGCCAGACATTTAAAGATTTTCAAATTTCCTAGGAAAATTTCTAGAGTGATCAATATAATTCAGTACTGATTATAAGTAAAACAGAAATGTCCCTGGAAGAAAAGCTCAATTTAAAGACATTCATTCATCAATTACTGGAGACTTGATTATCAAAGTATGTCACAGGGAATGCGCCACTGTAGAAAAAATTTCAGCTGACTCTCTGGGTTACACTACTGTTTAATTACAACTATTTAATTGTAAATCTTAAAAATGTCATTATAATTAGCATCAATTAACAAGTGTAATTTCCAGGAACCTTCTTGGAAATTATTCGGAAACTATGGACATGTAAAATACCTTTATTTTATTTTATTTCTTGTGCTTAAACTTTTAAGTTGTTTTAGTCAAAGAAAAAGCATCAACCTTAATGAGTCAGACATGTTTAATCATAGAATGTAACCTCCTATTCATGACATTAAATCCTCACATTTAACAAAAGTAAGAGAGAGAACATGACTTCAGTGTAGAGGGGGGCTATGATCAAAATTAATCACTTACAGTAATTTGACTGTGTGGCCTTGACAGATATATTTTAAGCATATTAATTAAATTAACAAATCATCTTTTTCCACCCACCTTTCAGCTCCCTCAGCTCTCTCTCTGCCAAAATTCTACACCTGCGTTCATACTTGAGTTGTGCCTGCAGTTGCTCTATTTTCATGAGGAGACTGATGGTGTCTGTTCTGATGCCTGGACTTGCAACATTTTCATCGTCAAATTCAATGGTTTCACTCTGTCAAATGAGAAGAAATTATATCAACGCTCCCATGCATGGTAAGGTAAACAGCTATTAGTTTAAAGCACAAATAAATAATCAAATCTCTCACCTCGTTGTTGGGAAAAGGTGAGTAGCTGGGCTCGTCAGCCAGCCTGTACTTATCCTCCACTGGATCACAGCCAAACTCCTGTGACTCTGTGCCGATCTTTATCATCTTCATTGGCGGGTGTGCTGAAGTCGTTCCAGCGTCTCTCTTGGGTGGCATGGGGATATAATAAATAAATAAAAAAAATCTGGAGAGAGCAGAGATGTGGTCAGTTGACTCATCAAGGGCTGCTTTCCTGCACAGGGTGAAGTCAAACTTTGAGTCAAACTTTTTCAGTTGTCTTGTTTATTTACGGTTTCTTTGAAACTCAGTCATGCGACACAATAATGAAAAGTTAGTTCCCATTGCACGCCCCCACCCCCTTCCTCCTCAACCCCACCTACTAGCGTCCGGATTGCCTCCACCTGGAGACAGTGAGTGACACAGCCTGTCTTTCAATACATTATCAGTACATGTGATGTTAAATGTTCAGAGGAGGCTCACCTGGCCGTTCAGCTCGACTTCAAGGATAAACTGTAACGACACTCACTGAGGACAAAGACAGCGCAGTAAATGGAAATACTGCGTAGTAGAGGAAGTAGTAGTACTACTGCAGTAGTACAGTACATAGATCCTCATACAACTACGGTTCATTTTGAACAGCCGCGCAAAACGTTTGCGGTTAAATATGTGTGAAATACTGCCTCTATATTTATCTTTTACTTTATATGGTTCACATATATATAAGATCGTTGTGTTGAGAAAATTATATTTTTACAATTATGTGCGGAACAATTGTGCGAAAACTTATTCCCCGAGGGAAGTATTTTCCCAAGTACAGTTTCCTGCTCATGTAAATTCTTAATTTAACCAATGGGAATTCACAATTTTAACAAAAGGCGGGACAAAGCAAAGCAACCGTTAATATCAACCAATCAGCGTCTGTGTTCAAACCTAACTTGAGTATTCTGTTCGGTTGGCGTGTACCCATGTGGGTTCAGTGTTGACTTGTGGAGTTAACTCGTATACTTTGAAACGCTACGTGTGGTGTTTCACCATGTCGTCGTCTTTTTTTGTAAAGACAAAAGAAAACCCCAAATTATCCAAAAAGGGGAAAAATACACTGGTGACTAAACGAAAGGTAAGTTAGCTGGAACCTTAGCAAGCAAGCTAAACCAGCAGGTTAACTCATGCGACTGACCTGATCTAATC